GTGGCAGAACAGCAACTTATATTCAAAGCATAAAGTGGACCACTGTTACACTATTTATTTATTTAGTTATTGGTTGATCTGTTTATTTATTTTTGTGGTACTGGGACTTGAACCCAGGGATGCTGTACTGCTGAACTACACCCACAGCCCTTTTACCTGATTTTTTTCGTTTATGTTTTTCATACTAAGGATTGAACCCAGATGTGATTTGCCACTGAGCTCCACCCCCATTCCTTTTCATTTTAATTTTTTATTTTGAGACAAGAGTTTTGCTGAGTTGCTCAGGGCCTTGCTAAATTGCTGAGGCTGGCCTTGAACTTGGGATCCTCCTGCCTCAGTCTCCTGAGTCACTGGCATTACTGGTGTGCACCACTATGCCCAGCTAGTTACAAAGGTACAGAAACTAAGATAGTGTGCTATTGGTATGAGGAAAGAAATATAGATCAATGAAATAGAATATAGAATCCAGATATAAATTTGTGCATATACGATCACTTGAGTTTGCGGAGAGGTGCCAAGGCAATTTCAATGGGGAAAGAATAGTCTATTCAACAACTGGGACAACTGGATATGAACATGCAAAGGAGTGAGGGTGAACTCCTACATCACACAGTGCATAAAACTTATCTCAATGAATCAAATACTAAGTGTAAAACCTCAATTTTTAGAAGAAAACATAAGCACAAATTTTCATGAACTTGTAGCAGGTAACATTCTCTTAGATGTGACATTAAAGCACAAGCAACTCAAAAAAAAAATAATTTTTCACCAATAGGAAAAAATGAAAAACTTTTCTGTTTCAAATAATACCATTAAGTACAAAGACAACCCACAAGAAAAATATTTGCAGATCATTTGTTTATGAAGAGATTTGCATCCAGAACATATAAAAAAACAATGATAAAATAATAAAATTATAAATAACTTAATTAAAAATGGAAAAATGACCTGACTATACATTTTTTTCAAAGACATGCAAGAGGCCCATCAACACATGAAAATATGTTCAGCATTGTTTACCAATGGAGAAATACAAACCAAATCCACAGACTACTTCATACTCACCATGGTAGCTATGATTTAGAAGGTAGATTATAACAAGTGTTGGCAAGGGCTGGGGACAGAGCTCAGTTGATAGAGTGCTTGCCTCACATGCACAATGCCCTGGGTTCAATCCCCAGGACCACACAACAAAAACAAAAACAAGTGTTGGCAAGGAAAATTGGAGTCCATTTATTGCTGGTGAAAGTGTAAAATGGTGCAGTTCTGTTTTAGTCTGTCTGTTCTAAATGGTTATAGAGTTACCATATGATTTAGCAACTCCACCCCTATTATTTATTTAGAATTTTTAATTTTTAAAAAAACTTTGTGTTTTTTAGTTATATATGACATTAGAATGTATTTTGACATATCATACATACTCTGAGTAAGTATAACTTCCCATTTTTATGGTTAGTACATGATGTGGAATTTCAATGGTTGTGTATTCATATAAGAACATAGAAAAGTTACGTCCAATTCATCTACTCTTTCCTATTCCCATCCTCCCTCCCTTCCCTTCATTTCCCTTTGTCTAATCCAGTGAATTTCTATTTTTCCCTCTTACCCCACTCCTGTCCGCTTATTGTGATTCAGCATCTGCACATCAAAGAGAACATTCAGCCTTTGGTTTTTTTGGGATTGGCTTATTTCACTTAGTATGATAGTCTCCAGTTCCATCCATTTACCAGCAAAAGCCATAATTTCATTCTTCTTTATGGCTAAGTCATATTCCATTGTGTATATGTAACACATTTTCTTTAACCATTCATCTGTTGAAGGTTGACTAGGTTGATTCCATAGTTTAGCTATTGTGAATTGAGCTGCTATAAACACTGATATGGCTGTGTCACTGTAGTATGCTGATTTTAAGTCCTTTGAGTATATGCTGAGGTCTACTCCTATTTATATACTCAAAATATACTCAAAAGAAACATGTCCCTACAAAAACTTATATACAATTGCCATAGCAGAACTAGTCATGATAGTGAAAATATTCATATTCTTCTCTCCAATACCATCTTGGAAGCAACCAAAATGTCCATCAAGTGATGAACTGGATAATCAAATGTGGTATATCCATACAATAAAAAATTATTCAGTAATAAAAAAGGAATAACATTCTGATATGTGCTTCAATATGAGTGAACCTTGAAAATATGCTAAGTGAAAGTAGCCAGTCACAAAGACTTTATATTGCACAATTTCATGTTAAAGAATTGTCCAGAATAGGTAAGTCTATAGCAAAACCAAGTAGATTAGTGGTTGTTCAGAGCTGGCATGGGAAGGGGTGGGGAAAAAGGAGGGGTGACTACTAGTGTGAACTGGTTTCTTCTGGAGTGGTAAAATACTCTATAATTGATTATGGTTATATATCTGTACAACTCTGTGAATATAGGAAAAACCTCTTAACTGTATCCTTTAAATGGTAAATTTTGTGATGTGTGTATTAAATCTCAAAAAAGCTATTAAACTTGCTCAGGCTGGGATGTGCCTATAGTCCTAGCAGTGGGAAAGTTGAGAGGAGGCTCACTTGAGCCTAAAAGTTTGAGGCCAGTCTGGGTAGTAGTGAGAACATCATTTAAAAAAAAAAAAAAGTTTTTTTTTTTTTGTCCAGGATATTGATATATGTACTTGTAAATGTTATGAATGATGGTCACTTTATGGAACTTTTGAAAGAAATAGAAGACAAATAAAATGATCTCGCATTCATTGCTTGTTGGTTTAATCTGCAAGAGCTTTGCTGAGATTTAGTTTATTCTTAACTCCAAGATTTTCTTATAACATTAGGTATGGTTGATAAGCATTTCATAATAGAAAAACAAAGCAGTAGCTGGTGCGGTGGGGCATGCCTGTGCCTGTAATCCCAGCGGCTCAGGAGGCTGAGGCAGGAGGATCTGGAGTTCAAAGCCAGCCTCAGCACAAAGCAAGGCGCAGGCTGGGGATGTACCTCAGTTGGTAGGTAAAGTGCTTGCCTCACATGCACAAGGCCCTGGGTTCAATCCCCAGCACCCACACACAAAAGTGGGGTGCTAAGCAACTCAGTGAGACCTTGCTTCTAAATAAAATATTAAATGGGGCTGAGAATGTGGCTCTGGGGTGGACTGCCCCGGAGTTCAATCCTCTGTACGCCTCCACCCCAAACAAACAAGAAAACAAGGCAGTGAAATTCGTATTTCTCACTAATACTCATAATGCATATAAACAAAATTTCAAGTTCTAAGGAGAGGAAAAGCTTATTTTTCATTTTGCTAGATGGGATTGAGGAATTGTCAAAATAGAAACTGTTCATAATACAAAAGCTGTTGGTTACTGACTACGCTATTAGGGCACCCCAAGCTTCTGAGCTGGAGACACAGAGACTATTAACCCACCATGGCCTTCCGGAGCCCAGCAAGCTCAGAAAACAGAACTTCCCCCACCGGGTTGCCTAGATAGGGGGCTCGTCCTTCCTCAATTCCAGAAGACAGCTCCAAGTCAGATCTGATTCTATTGCTAGGTCGGCTACACTGTCGCTATGGGAAAAAACTCAGGGCCATCATCTGCTCTTTTAATGCTTTATTTCCCAATGCAGATGATGGGACTTCACGATCCCGCCAGAAGCGAGTGAGCTGGGAAATACTGAGAAAAGATGAGGGGCATAGGAAATATGCACAGCCTAGGTTTGAAGCGAGTTCTGCCGCGTACCCGTAGGACAGGGGGAAATTACGTAGGTATGAACTGTTTCCTTGTTTGTGGAACGTATTCCTCCTCCTGTGGGCCCTGGCATCTTCCCTCTGCGCTCCCGGGCCCCCACGAGGGGGGCAGGCGAGTGTCCGTGCAGTCGGCTTCTCTGGTCCAACTCTCCTATTTACACATGAAAAAGACTCTTAGAGACCGAGTGACCTTTCCATTATCACACAATGACTGTCTCTAGGGAGTGCAGCAGGCAATGGCGGCTCCGCAACGTGAATTCCTCAGAGCAAAGCCGTGTCCCGCCACCTAGCAGCCAGTCCTGGCACTACAAGAAAAGTGCCATGAAAAAGACTGGTACTGCGGCATCGGCGAGCCAATACACTCTCAGCTCGCTCAGTTGACTCCTTTATCCTATTGGGAGCTTTAAACTTTCAATCAATCACTAAGGCGGTCTTTATTGGTTTGGTTTCAATCATTCGCCACAATTTACCAATCACATTCTTCTTCCCAAGACCATCTTTAGGTCGGTAGATTACCTCCCGAGTCTGACGAATTTAGTCAGTTCCTTTATTCCATTGGCTAGATCAGGCCCTGCCTCTCTCCCATCCTGTTCAGGACGGAAGTGAGAGAACGCCTATTCCTATTGGCTGCGGTTGTCCATCGGGTCTAGGAAGCCGATGTTAGCGCTCAGGAAATACGACGCCGGAAGGGGTGGGCTCGCAAAGATGGCGGCGCCGGTGAGTGTGGTGTGTTCTTTTACTCGAGCGGCTATTGCGGACTTCTTTCTTTTTAATGGCTCAAAACAAACTGTTGGCACCAGGAAAGGGTGGTGATGAAAGTTGCTTCAGGGAAATGGCCTCTCTGGAGCAGCTAAGCAACAGTAGGGAGACTTAGGGCCGGAGTTACTGCTCCTTTCCAGCAACATGAAGGATTTGCTTTCAGGAGAGGCTGCCGGTGCACCGGGTGAAAAGGCCCAAAGTGTAAGGTGTTCGAAGGAGAGGGGAAGTTTCTTACCCCAGATGTTCGTTTTTTTTTTTTTTTTTCTGGTACCGGGGATTGAACTCAGGGGCACACGACCACTGAGCCCCATCCCTAGCCCTATTTTGTATTTTATTTAGAGACAGGGAGGGTCTCACTGAGTTGCTTAGCGCCTCGCCTTTGCAGAGGCTGGCTTTGAACTCGCGGTCCCCCTGTCTCAGCCTCCCAAGCCGCTGGGATTATAGGCGTGCGCCGGCGCCTTGCTTCCTTCCTCTTAAATAAATATGATTTTTTACTATCTCCTCTAGGAGGTGCTGGAGTCAGACGTGCCAAGTGCCGTGACACTCTTGAAAAATCTCCAGGAACAGGTGAGCAGGTGTCGTCCCTTTGGAATAGATTAGTCACGAATTGGCTTTGGCTTTGTGTGCCTCACCTCCAAACTTTGGTGTTTTAGGAGCAGATATTTGGATGCTCCCAAATACCCTAAAGGTAAAATAATTTAACAAAACCCTTTTCAGTCAAAGTAATCGATTTCTGTACCCAAAGAAATACATAAAACTTCAAAAAGAAGCCATCACAGTCAGTTCCTTTTATTATTAAAGGTAAGAAAACTGGAATGTGACATGATTTGCACATTGGGTGCCCACCTAACATTCATTTGTATAGTTCAGTGCTTTATAAGTTCAGTCAGGACGTGTAAAGTCATAGTCCCTCCATTACCACTGTTCCAGTTCTCATCCCCTCCAGCATTGTTTGATAAAGATGCTCCCCAACCCCCTAATTTTAAGAAATGTCTACCTGTTTGTTTGTTTTTTTAAAATTTTTAGTTGAAGATGGACACAGTACCTTTATTTTATTTATTTATTTTTATGTGGTGGTGAGTATCGAACTCAGTGCCTTGCATACTAGTTAGGCAAGCACCCATCCACTGAGCCACAACCCTAGCCTTTTGAAGAACTGTCAGAACCATCTTTCCTGTTCTTTCCCAGAACTAGGGAAAAGATAGTACTGTCGTTTAAACAGTGTTTCAGATAATTTTTAGGTGGTTGTTTAGACATGACTTGATGTAGCCTAGTCATCTGTTTTATGGTCTAATTTCAGGTGGTGGCTGTAACTGCACAAGTACAAGCACTGACCAAAAAAGTTCGAGCTGGAGCTTATCCTACAGAGAAGGTAAGATGTGTTTAAAGAGTAAACATCTCCTGACTTGATTTTCTCAATAATTCATTCATCATACAATTATTGTTTGTTTTATATCCTGAGTGCTAGAGCTTCAAAGATGGGTAAAATCCAATTTCTGTGCTGGAATCTCATGGGGAAGATGAATTAAAGCAATAGATGTGAGAAGTAGCATTTATATTGCAATGTTATGAGAAGTGAGGTGCCAGCCAAGGAGTGAGAACTTCCAGAAGAGCAGAGGGAGTCAATCAAGGAAGGCTTCTCAGAGGAGGTATCAGACTTTTGAGAAGTAAATAGGAGTCAGAGAAAATATATACAAAGGCACAGAGGTCTGAAAGCATGGTGATGTTCTGGGGGAGGAGGTAAGTAATTTTTGTGGATGAACATACATTTCATGTGTTGTATGTGTGATGGGGATAAGAAGTAAGCCTGGAAAAGTGGTCATTCTGAAGACCCTTATAGGCCAGTGAAGGGGTTACTGTTTGTTTCATCTGATCAAAGATGCTATTAATTAGGGTCGACTACTTAATTTTATATATGGTAGTCCCCTTGTCTGAATTTCACTCTGAAATTTTAGTTACCTAAGGTCAGTTGTGGTCTGAAAATATTAAATGAAAAATTTCTGACATGGGGCTGGGATTGTGACTCAGTGGTAGAGTGCTCATGTAGTGTGGGTGAGGATTGGGTTTGATCCTCAGCACCACATAAAAATAAATAAAAATAAAGGCATTGTTCCCATCTGCAACTAAAAAAATATTTTAAAAAAATTCTGACATAACTTATACCTTTTAAATAACTTTTATTATAGTGTGATTATAATTGTTCTATCTTATTAATTGTTGTTAATTTCTGATCGTGCCAAAGTTATAAATTAAAATTTTTCATTGGTGTGTGTGCATAGGATTTAGTATTATCCTCATTGGGGACATCCACTGGGGATTTTGGAATATATCACCTGTGGATAAGGGGAGATTATCTTCTTAAGAAAGAGTATTAATCTGTAACAATGCTAAGATACTATTGACTGAAAGATGCATCCAAATTTTAGGGATGTTAAAATATGAAAATGGCGCATCTGAAAATTCAAGTATAATAGTTTTCAAATTAGAGTCAGGTAGAACCTATTTAGGTTCTTGGTATTAGGTCACTGTGGGAGGACAACTCTGGAGTTCTTGTTTTACATATTGAGCTTTTGACCTAAAATTATATTTAAGCAAAATATTTCATAGATAACTAAAAACACAAAAGTCATTGTAGTAAATCAGTAAGAATCATTGAAAAAATTTTGAGCATGAGAGTTACAGCAGACTTGTATTTTTAGGAAGATAAAGACTTTTCTTTCTCATTGTTCACTTTTGTTTTTATTGCATATCTTTATTTTCTCTGATGTGCTCATAACCCCAGTTTGAACTTGACAGTGCCAATGCCCAAGCATTGTCAAAAGAGCCTGTTTCTCAAATTTTACCCATTTATGTTCTGGGTACCTTGCTTTGATAATTTTAGTGCTGGGCTGTCAGCATACCTCTTAGATTAATCAGTATTTGTTTATTCATTGAACAAATATTTATTTTCTTTTATGAGCAAAGAGTGTTACAAGGATCAAAGGTGCTTAATAGGGTTCAAATTTCTTTTCTGTTATTTGTGTCTTGTTATGATTATTTGGACGGGAAATATAGATGAGAAGTCTGAGGTCACCAGGTTAAGTGACTTACCCAATATTTAATTACCAAATGCCTAATTCAGAATTTAAACTCAACTTGTCTTTAAATCCTTTACTCATGCTCCAGTACCATGTTGGGGCTAATAATAAGAATTAGTTATGTTAATTTAAAGATACCCAAGGCCCAGGTAAGTCAAACTGAGTTTGAATTTCACCTGTGATCCTATTTAAGTATTTAACCTGTCTAAAACAGGCTTGCTTTTTTAAAAAATATATACATATTTTTAGTTGTTGGTAGACCTTTATTATTTTTTATTTATTTATGTGTGGTACTGAGAATCAAACCCCATGCCTCACATATACCAGGCAAGTGTGCTACCGCTGAGCCCCAGCCCTAAAACAGGCTTTCTTAAGGCTGTGGACTTTGTCAATTTTCATTTTATGCAGTCACAAGACTCATTTGTCTTATTTAATAACCGTAACTTAAGTCATGCTCACATGTATTGCATTATTTTGTTTGCATCTTCTGCCTATATACACTTTATTTATTGTTGATGGTATAGATCTAACCCTCATGTGTGCTGGCAAGCACTCTACCACTGAGCTACACCTCAACCCTATAATACAATTTTAATTTTGGATAGTTTGGGAGATACATAAAACCATAAAGAAGAAAATGAAAAGTCATTTTAATCATACTTTGAGATAACATTCTTTTTTGAGATTTTTTGTTTGTTTTAATTTTTATTGTAAGGGTGATGTATGTGCTGGGCGCATGGTTGTGTGCACCTGTAATCCCAGTGGCTTGGGAGGCTGAGGCAGTGGAATAATGAGTTCAAAGCCAGCCTCAGCTGGGCTGGGGTTGTGGCTTAGTGGTAGAGCACTCACCTAGCAGCATAACACTGGTTCTAGCCTCAGCACCACATAAAAATAAATAAAGATATTGTATCCACCTACAACTAAAATAAATAAATAAATATGTGTGTGTGTGTGTGTGTGTGTGTGTGTGTGTGTGTGTATGAAAAAAAAAAAAGCCAGCCTCAGCAGTTTAGTGCAGCCCTAAGCAACTTAGTGAGACTCTGTCTCAAAAATAAAGAATGAAAACAGGCTGAGGATGTGGCTCAGTGATTGAACACCCCTGGATTTAATACTGGTACAGAAAAAAAAAAAATCAGGACTTATTTTAATTAAGAATAAGTTAATTTAAAAATTGGCAACACATTTGATTTTACAGTTGGCAACATTTTTGATTGTTACAACTTTGGGAAAGGGCATCAATGAGTTGAGGCCAAGGACAGTTTCTGGAAACCTGCAATAACAGCACAGCCTCCATAACAAAGAATTAACTGACTCCAAATATCAATAGCTCTGAGATGAGAAACTTTGTTACAGCCTTTTTAGAGGGATACTGTATTGATTTTCCTGCTTTTGTTCTAGTAGTTCTCTGAGCTTTGCTTCTCTTGTGTTAGCATAATTTTCTCTGTTGGCAATTTTAGGTATAGCTCCTTCTTCAGCTATGATAATCCCTCCATATCCTTCAGGATATGTTTTGAGAACTCCTGGCAGATACTCTAAACTTTGGATAGTACCAAGTCCTGTGTATACTTTGCTTTCCCCTATGGGCCTCACAGTGTTGCCACATAGTTACAGAGTTAATCTGTCCTTCCACATTTTGTGCCTGATGCCCTCTTTTCATCATTATTCTTGCATGTGGAGGTTGTGAGAAGGGTTACTTGAACAAAAGCTCTGTGATGTTATGGCAGTTGATCTGATAACTGAGGTTACTACCAAGTGACTAATAGGCAAGTAGCACAGACTAAATACTGTAAATACACTAGACCAAGGAATAACTCAACATCCCAGGTAGGATGGAGTAAGATGGCACCAGATTTCAGTATACTACACACAATAGTGGACTATTTAAGACATAAATTTTAAAACATGAATTTTACCTTTATGGAATTTCTACTTAGTATTTTTGGACTGTGATTGGTTGTGAATAACTGAAACTGTAGAAAGCAAGACCACAGTTAAGGAGGGATTACTGTACTCCAGATACTTTATATGAACTGATGGAGGAAAAACTTGAACTTGGAAATCATTATCTTGCTTGCCCTAAGTGCTCCTCCTGATTCTCTTACTGTTTTGTTCAACTCAGGGTCTCAGCTTCTTGGAAGTGAAAGATCAGCTGCTGCTTATGTACCTTATGGATTTGAGCCACCTCATCCTGGACAAAGCCTCAGGAGGATCTCTTCAGGGACATGCTGCAGTTTTGAGACTAGTAGAAATTCGCACGGTATGAGGCCTTTGCTTCTTGGAAATGTAGGTTTCTAAATCCTAAATTCTAAAGTTTAACATAGTATCTCTCATTTAAGTGGTTGTTCTCTCTTTAAGTAAGGAAACCACATTTTAAGAGAGAGAGAGAGAATTTTTTTTAATATTTATTTTTTTAGTTCTCGGTGGACACAACATCTTTGTTGGTATGTGGTGCTGAGGATCGAACCCGGGCCGCACGCACTCCAGGCGGGCGCGCTACCGCTTGAGCCACATCCCCAGCCCAGGAAACCACATTTTAAAAAAATATATATTTATGGGGTTGGGGCTGGGGCTCAGCGGTAGAGAGCTCACCTAGCACATGTGAGGTTCAATTCTCAGCTCCACATAAAAATAAATAAATAAAATAAAGATATTGTGTCCAATTACAACTAAAACAAAAATATTTAAAAAATAAATAAAGTATTTTTCTCCCAACACAAGGGACTCTGGTATGTGCTTGATTTGGGGAAAAGAATGTAATCCTTTTTAACTATTGCATTATAGGTATTGGAAAAGCTCCGTCCTTTGGACCAAAAACTGAAGTATCAAATTGACAAACTGGTTAAGACTGCAGTGACAGGCAGTCTCAGTAAGTGAGAGGACCAGCATAACATCGTGGGGATCATCATAAAATTCCAAATCTTTTAAATCTCTGGGGTTTTGTATTTCAGGTGAAAATGACCCACTTCGCTTTAAGCCTCATCCCAGCAATATGATAAGCAAGGTAAAGGGTTGTATTATCCTCCTAATTTTTCTGAAGGAGCTATATATACATGAACCTTGTGGTGATCACCTGTGACTTGATTTTCTGGTGTTTACCTTAGAATGTTTCAGTATGAGGTTCCTTTTCCCCCTTGTGTTTGTAGTCATCTCCTAAGGGTACTACTACAGCTTTGGGGGGGAGCGTTTCTTCTCACTTGTCTATGAATTCTTCCTAAATTAGCAGACATTGTTTCTTCTGTAGTTGAGCTCTGAGGATGAAGAGGAAGATGAAACAGAGGATGGCCAGTCTGAGGCTTCAGGAAAGAAAGCTACAAAAGGAGTATCCAAGAAATACGTACCACCGCGCTTGGTTCCAGTTCATTATGGTATGAATTGTGGCTGCTGCCTTCTTGGAATGAGTTGTGTTCCTCTTTTGCCTTTCTCTGTTTTGGGATAACACCTGTGGATTTTTATCAAATAGATGAAACAGAAGCTGAGCGGGAGAAAAAGCGTCTGGAACGAGCCAAGAGACGGGCATTGAGCAGTTCTGTCATTCGTGAACTTAAGGAGCAGTACTCAGATGCTCCAGAGGAAATCCGAGATGCTCGCCATCCTCATGTCACTCGCCAGAGTCAAGAGGACCAACATAGGTCTGAGCTCTTTAAATTAGAAGTTATTTCCACTTTAGAGACCTGTTCTCAAACTTAGGGTAAATTCTGGTTAATTCTGGTACCAAGACAAACAATATCATATAGAAAGTGGAGTGGAAAATTTGGGATGATAGAAGTTTGAAGTATGGGATAAGAAGTAGAAAATAATTTTTTTTTTTTCCTCCCCAATTCTGTTTAGGCTCAAGCAAATGCTATATGGAGAGGAATAAATGTAGTTCCATGTAGGGCTTTAATAGCCTGTATTTCACTGTCAAAATTCTTACTTTTTCAATGAAGAAAGTAAAAGCAGGTTTTTATAGTGGCATTAAGAATGCTATATAAATTCAGGGAAGAAAAGTAGAAAAGCAGTTGTAACTTTAATACAGGCTCATCAACTTTGCTCGTGTAAGACTCTACATTGAAAGATGTGCATGAAAGGGCCCATTCATGCAATGAATCCTACTTACAGAGCTAAAATAAGGGAATTTTCTTGATTCAGGAGGCTGAGGCAGGAGGATTGCAAGTTTGAATCCAGCCTCAGCAATTTAGTGAAGGCCTCACCAACTTAATGAGACCCCCTTCTCAAAATTAATATTAAAAAAGGGCTGAGAGCTGGGGATTTGGCTCAGCGGTAGTGCACTTGCCTGGCATGTGTGAAGCACTGGGTTCAGTTCTTAGCACTGCAAAAAAAAAAAAAAAAAAGTCAACAACCAAAAAAAACAGGATGAGGGCTGAGGATGTAGCTCAGTGGTAAAGGGCCCTTAGGTTCAATCCCCAGTACCAAAATTCTATCACAGACAACATTTCATTCGTATTGAACATTCTGTATGACTTTAGTAAATACTGTGTTGATCTGCTGTGAAATTTCCTCACTACTCTTAAGCTAGGATTGTTAAATGCTCAGGCCCAGGGTTTTGGTGGTGGTGGTGTTGTTTTTTTTTTTGTTTTTTTTAATATTTTTTAGTTGTAGTTGACACAATACCTTTATTTTTATGTGGTGCTGAGGATAGAACACAGGGCCTCGCATGTGCTAGGCGAGTGCTCATACTGCTAAACCACAACCCAGCCACTAGGCTCAGGTTTTGGGCTAGAGCTTTCCACTACCATGGTTTGAGTCTGTAGGGATCAGTGTCTGATTTTCTGTGACAGGATTAACTATGAAGAAAGCATGATGGTGCGTTTAAGTGTCAGTAAGCGCGAGAGAGGACGGCGAAAACGAGCAAATGTCATGAGCTCCCAGCTTCATTCCCTCACGCACTTCAGTGACATCAGTGCATTGACAGGAGGAACTGCTCATCTTGATGAGGTGAGATTGAGGTACAGTTGTAGGAGGCAGCTGTCATTCTTTCAGCCAAATATATTTGGAAATTATTACCATAAGGAACTTGGGGAGGGATTCTGGCACTTGGAAATACACTGCCTTTCCTTTGCTTCTCTGTCTCCAGGATCAGAATCCTGTTAAGAAGCGAAAGAAGATACCCAAGAAAGGTCGGAAGAAAAAAGGTCAGTGTAGTACTAGTACTTACGTGATCAAGTACAAGGTAGGGAATGGAAATTGGGATGCCACCCCTCAGGATTTGCCATCCTGATCTCACCAACCCCCATAGTGTCCCTTCCATAATCTCTTAGTGAGGCTTTTCTTTTTCTTCTTTCCCAAGCTGGAACTCCACATCATTCCAAAAGGGATTTCTAGATTCCATCTCTAAGGTCCCATACTCTTATTCGATTTCCATACTATAGGGTCACTTGAGGGAGCTGTCATCCCATTTTAGTTTCATTCTTCTAGTCTTTCTAGTCTTTTGTCCTGGGAAGAAGATACAGAATACTAACCTAAGAACCCCCCCCCCCCCCTTTAAAATATTTATTTTTTAGTTATAGTTGGACACAATACCTTCATTTATTTTTATGTGGTGCTGAGGATCGAACCAGGGCCTCGCACATGTAGGCGAGTGTTCTACTTCTGAGCCACAACCCCAGCCCCAAGAACCCACCCCTTTTGAACCCTCTCTAAATGTTCTTTTGTTCCTGTCCTTCAGCTTTTCCAACTGTCCTTTGCCTCATTCTTGGTTTCCCTTCCTTTTAGGTTTTCGGAGGCGGCGGTGATTATGGGTGTACATGTTTTATGTATTTTGTCATCCTGAGATACGTCTATTTTCACTGTATGTAGGTCTTTTCCTTGGAATTCATTGTTTGCTTTGGACATGTGGAAAGATCTTTAATAAAATTGATTTTACACCTGAATTAAAGCCCCTTTTGCACATGTATTGAGTGATGAAATTGTTGGGTATGTGGGGTATTTTTGTTGAATGGGTGGTGGAAAGGGAAAGATGAAATTTTTCTTGGAGTTTCAAGAAATTTGACTTTATTAATTTTCTTTGATCAGTATTTCCCCCAGAAACTGGAAATTGTTTATTATTTTTTTAAAAATTGACAATATAGAGTAGAATATCAACTGTTTCCAGCCCATGTATGACTTCTACCGTGGGTACAATATCTGAAATATGTGGATCTTATATTTCCTTAATGTATCTAGCCTGGCCACCAGGTGGCATTAGTAGTTCAGGAAACCATTGGTGCTTGACTGTAATTGAAAACAAGATAGAACATTTCCACATCAGCAAGAGTTATTTTTGTTTCTGCTACTCTGTTTCTGAAATAACATGAACATAGAGCTGATTTTTGATCAGTTACTGATAGTTTGTAGAGAATAGTGGAGTGAATGAGTTGACTAGAGCAGAGTTATGTAATCTTGTTTTTCAGTCACCTTAACCTACCCTCATCCAAGGCCTCAGTTACCAGAATCAGTAAAGACCAACTGTTTTACAGAGAACTGCCAAAGGGTACCAGAAAGCTGGCAGACAGAAAATTCTTAGCTTGACAGAGCAAAGAATGTAAGTTCCACAGAAATATTAGTCAAGCTCCAGTCAGGAGACCAGTGGGTTACATATCTGAGATGTTCTATTCTATTTGAAGAATACCTGTGTTTATGAGAGAAAGTGAAAGAAGGGCAAAAAAGAGGAGTTGAGTATACAGAATTAATTCATTCGATTTATTTTTTAAAGGATTTATGTCTCATGAATATCTGGTTTTAGTGTCTGGTTTCCCTGTGCAGTATTATGGACAGGAATATAGTTTGGGGTCATTATATCACTAAAATTTTTGTTTTATTCTAAATTCTGTGAATTTTGGTCACATATACTGGTTTGCCTGATTGAGGCAAGAGTTTATTTTCAGTCAGTGGCCTGCTAGAAATCAGAAAATGAATTTGCAGCCATCTTTTACTAATTCTATGATCTTGGACAAATCATTTAACATCTCTGGCCTTTAATTTTCCTCAGCTGAGAATGAATACATTTGAATTTCTGGGATTCCTTCCAAATCAAGGAGCCTAGAGCATATATGGATGATGGCAAGATGAGCCTGCTTCTGTGAACTCTAACTTAGTCTGGTAGATCTGAGGGAATCTGACATGTCCCAGGCTCATACTTTTGTTTCTTCAAGTGAATTGAAACAAAGAGCCCAAGAATAGATTTAGAGATTCTTTTCCTTTCTGAATGAATTAATTGGACAAGTGGCTCAGCTAAAAAATGCTTTGATTAGAATCACCACATTCATTTCTTAGGACTACTGTTACTTGTTTCTAATTTATTAAGATTTTTTTGTTTTAAATATTTTTTTAGATGTTGATGAATCTTCATTTATTTATATGAGAATCAAGCCCAGATTGATTCTGGGCTTGCTAGGCAGGTGTTCCACCACTGAACCACACCCCAGCCCTTATTAAGATTTTTTGATTAGGGAATTTCTTTTTCTTTTTTTGAAAAGATTTAAGTTTTGTTACCTACTTACCTAAGTGCTTTACACTTAATCTTTACAAAATGTATGACATCTCCATTTTGCTGTTGTGGAAACTGAGACCCTTAGGTTGAACAGTCTGTTGAAGATCTCTTGTCTAGTAAATTGGAGAACCTGTTCCAGAGAAACATGGGAAATGGAGAACTTCAAGTGCCCTGTAATTCTTGAAAGTCTTCAGTGTTTGTGTAGGCAATTTATAATCTCCAACTCCTCCCCATCCCTATTTCTCCATTTCTGTTAGAGGACTGGCCTTCAAATAAACCACAAGCTCCAGACACTATACTGGCCTCTCGGTGGCATAGCAAGTTACAAAACAGATAAAATCCCTGCCTCTGTGAAGAACCTTATGTTAATTTAATTGAGTTTTTAACTCTAAGATATCTTGCTTGCCCTGACCTTTCAACAGGATTAACAATTATTACAGTAATGGTTATAATTATTATTTCTGGGGAATATTGGCACCCAAATCATCAAACAATATTTAGAGTATATTGTTTGATAGAATTTTATGTAGTTTCTTGGTATGTGAAACAGGAATGACTGAGGTTAACTTTGGTTGAAATAGGAATGAAAAGTCTTGGATCTCCAAGGAACCTTTAGAATTCCATAGAACACAGTTTGAGAACTACTGTTAGTATAGTAAAGCAAGAAAACCAAGAATTTTAGGGTTTATGGCTCTTCTGTTGTTCACTCTTCTTCTTTCTCTTACTTGGATTCTGTTCTCTGATACTTCAGAACACATGAATATCAAAAAATAACAGATTATTTCCAGTGTTCACTGTAATGTCATTAGTGCACATGAGCACCTGTTCATTGTTACCACATGATGGTGAGAGAGTCATGGCTTTATTCTAAGCAAGTAATTTAGCATCTCTGTCTTGGCTTTTCATCTTAGGCAGTGGGTAAGGAAGATTGACAAAGGCCTGTTTTTGCCTCAAAAACTTTTGTTTTGTAGGATTTTATGAGGGCTGGGGAAATGTCTGTCAGAAGTTCACAACAATCTTCATGAATACTTTGATGACCTGATTGCAGTTAATCAGTTTTTCAGCACCACGGAGAGTTCATGCTCACATCTCATTTCTTATCTTGGGTTGGTGGAACACACATACTAAACATCCCAGTAGAACTCCATGGTATAAATCTGTCCTTGGAGCCTAGTTTCTTTCTCAGTCCTGATTGGTACAGATTGAGAATTGGCACCGTCTTCAGTGTCCCTCATCTTCCCTGCGATCAGCTAGCTCTGTAAACACCAGTGCAACCCAAGTATTTGGCCAACTTTTTGAAGGCATATGAATGAAATCTGCCTTCTACTGTTCTGGAAATGCTTCACTCATTGTGATGCACAAGATTTTTACCAGTGCTTGGGAAAAATTTTTATCCCCTTTTCTCTTTCCTTGCAGACCCTAGAGGAGGCATAAATTTCCTTTTTCATTGCTTGGGCCTCTTTTTCTGCCTTTGCATAGAGAAAGGCATCATTGCTTTGGCTCTCTGCCCAGTCTTGCTTTTGTATTTCTTTGATCTCATTGTTCAGAGGGTCTCAGAGAAGCCCCAAGAGCCATGCCTTTGCATGTTTAAGCTATTGATGCTTTTGAAATAACAGAGCGTCACTGTGTAAGAAGTGTATTAAAGGTCTATCTTGAACAAATTTGGGTCAATAGGTGGCAGTAGTCACTGAGTCCTGAGGTCTTGACACCCCCTAAACACAAGCACATTTGATGGCCATTATATTTAAGGGTATGAGAGAGGAGGTCACATTGAGATAAAAATGGGAAAAGGCGTCACTTTTGGTGGAATCCAGGAAATGCTGAGATGTGCTGGACTTCTGTGGAGGGTTTTATGTGGGGAGGTTGCCATTCAGCTAGTGAAGGTCACTGATGGGAAAGAGTGAGGTCTTAGGAGTGGGGGTCAGACCTAATACAGGGCTTCTTCGAGCTAGGGTAAGGCTGTGTTAAATGAGGACTAGTGCTGATACAGATAGGGCTGGGGGAGTAGAGAGAGAAGTGGGGGAGGGAGGGGCAGAGCTGTGTGAAGGGACCATAGAAAGGGTGGGCTGTGAAGGGGAGGACTGCGGTTAGAGGGGGAGGGGAAGGCTGCTGTGATATTGAGCCTATCTAATGGGGGATGGGAGGGGGAGATATTAGTCTGCACTGCAGCTGCATTGGCTCCCCTCCCCCACCCTTCCCAAGGAGCCTGAGCAGTGCTAGCAAATCTGTCTTCATGTATTTATTATTATTAAAAATGTGACAGATTCTTCCTCCCTGGAAGCACAACAAATACTACTGATCACATTTCCCTCTCCCTTCCCTCTGCAGAGCTTTTGCATTCTCTCTTTCATTTTCACTACCCTGTCCTCCCCCTTGGGCTGTTTGACTGGTGGGGGGGAACCCTTTCCTTCCTTTATTTCTCAAGCTTGTTGGCTCCCTGGGGCTTTCTAATGGTGGTTGGGAGTTTCAAGGCTATGCTGGGAGGAAGCAGCTGACTGAGGGGCATCCATTGCCCCAGGGAGGGAGCTGTACTCTCCAACATCCAGTGGGGAAAGGAAATCACTTGGAAATAAAGACAAAATCCTTTCTCTAGCAAATGAAAGAAGAAGCAGACACTTACATTCTTTTCAGTCCCTGGCATTCCTCCCTTTTCATGCCCTTCTCTTTTCTACTCCTGAATTCTGAGGGGGAAACCTCCTTAGAATGGAAAAAGCCAGGAGTCCTCTCTCCTCCCTCCCTTACCTTGTTAAGTCCCTCTCTTCCCAGGAGAGCCATATACAATTTATTCTAGACTGCATGTTGTATTATTGAGAGGTTTGAAGGGCAGAAGCCATGGCTTCTCCTTCCTTACCTGCGTCCCAGACCCTCATGCCCAAGCAGGGGCCTCTTTGTTGCTGTCTGTAACCCTTCACCATACCCATAGGTGGTGCTGATGTTGCTCTGCAGGCTAGGCCCTCCTCCCCAACATCATTCCTTCCCACCCTGTTGCCCTCCCCCTTTCTCCTGCCTGATTGTTATTCCACCAACGTCTCCTCTACTGTTCCCTTCCTCAAATTAATTTTGTGGCGTCCTCCCCCCCCCCCCCTGCAATGCCATCTTCTTCCCCTCCCCCTGCTCCCACTCTTGCTTTCTCTGTTTCTCTTTCTGCATGATCTCTATCCCACTCCCCTACCTAGAATTTATACTGTACCTTAGTACCCACCCCTCCCCCCACTTTTTTTTTTTCAATCTTTTTCACCCTTGGCATTTTCCAGATGGCTCTCCTACTATAAGAGGGCTGTAGGTGAAAGTGGTTTAGAAGAGAATGGGGTGAGGAAAACTGAAGAGGCCAGTATTGAAGACTGGTTGGGAGAATCACGAGACTGTACAGAAAATGGGTGGAAATGTGAGAGGATAGGTATTCTTTGCTATCCATTAC